TGTTCTAGATCTAGTAAATGCCAATTAATAACTAGTTACTATAGCTCCTACATTGTGTAGTAAGTATTCTGATTTATGTCCTTTAGCCCAATCACGTTATTACCATTTATGATAAAACTTTGCATTGTTTGTACATAAAGTCTAGTCTACTATTCTTAAACCTGTACAGGACACTAAGCCACACAAGGTCTGTTACATGGTAACCTTAGTGGATTTCTCTCTCATGAGATCATACAGTCCAAAGCCTACAACCATGTCAACTCCCTTAACAAAAGAGATTGCCTCTCCTTGTAGACCTTGCTTCATGGTGTCCTATAGAACCTTTGTTTTCTACTAATACCAAATGACTTCATTAAACAGTAGATGCTATATGAAGGACTGTTGTTCCTTACATTATGCGTTCATCTAAATGCGAATCTAAGCTCCACTCCTCTACCTTGTATTTTGTTTTGCCAATATTAGGAAAGAAGCTTTTGTGCAATAACCTTAGCAGTATATTTGATCAGCCAAACAGATCAGAGTAGGGAAGATTTTATTCACTCAGGCCTTTTAAAAACACTGGTACACTTCCTTTCCATGGAATGATTTTTAAAGAGACTATGACAGAATTAAATCAGGATGCTGTACATTGTAAGGATTATAAAAGCTGAATAAAAGAGGAAGGTAGGCAAACAGTAAGAATGAAGGCATTAAGATGTCGAGTACCCATTACCAGGAAAATCCCAGAGGGGAAACAATGTCAACAGAGTTCAGTGACAAAATTCCTGGAGTAGATTCACAAAGAGCAAGCAGAATCCTCCACCTTTAAATCCAGACTATCCTCCCTTCCACCTTGACCAGGTATGTGAGACTGGTAAAGCTGCCCAATCCAAGCTCTGCTGGTCAGAAGCAACCCCTTCAAGCTGGTACCCTGTAATACCACTTGTGATATATAGGTAAGCTGGGCCAAGCTGACTGTTGTGCACATGTAAACCTGCCTGGAGACTGGAACCTACCTATATTTTGAATAGTCCTGGACTCTGACAGCCTCTAAAACAAAGAAGCCACTATCCTCTTGTATCATTAGACATATGTTGCCACTCACCAATTCCCTTCTGCGGCAAATGAGAACGATACTCCATCAGGTAGTTCAGGTATGGTTTCTCAGGGCTTATCTCATAGTACCGTATATTTCCATCACCCTGAAGACAAAGAAAACAAACATAAGCTGTTCAGCACAAGAGTCTGAGAAGAATGCCTGGCCTCAGAAGCCATGCAGGGTCATGAATAAAACAAGTATTTACCTTTAAATTCCTGTGTGGGAAGGTTAGGGCTCTGCAGTGTACCTCCCCACAGTAAACATGGTATGACTGCAGTGGAAAACGTGGCCTGATGCTGCAGCCCCCTCAGGCCCCATCCCATCAGCCCATATATTTAGATTAAACTGCTTCAGGAGCATCTTTTGCTTCAGCCTGGCACAACACAGGCCAGGAGAAGAATCAGACAGGTCAGCATTTGCTGACGTGGAAAGCACTTACCTTTCCCACAACGTAAAGCATGTGTGTGTCTGAGTCATAGAAAGGAAACAGGAGTCCCGAGGAACCATCCAGATCCTCCTCCAGTAAAGGCACAGAAAGGTCATTCTGGGCAAGACAGGAAAAACAGAAAGCTGCGATCACCTGTCAGTCACATCAAGTCAGGAACACTTTACCTGAACCCCAACCGGCAGGGGCATGTAAGCACAGCTCTATAATGATCCTAGGCCATGCCCAGCTGTCCTGAGGAGAGGGCTATGCACAGACTTCTTCAAGGCCCTGTGGGTGGGAAATAGGTGCTCTGACCCTGGCTCTTGACTGAGTGCGACACCTCAGGACGTCAGTTCCTACAACTAGAACATCTCAGGCACCTGATGACATTTCAGGGGTAAATACAATAAGGAACATTGCCTTCCACAGGGAGATGGAGGGGCGTTTGAGGCATGTGTACATCCTTCACTGACTTACGTTCCCTTGCTACCTTCAGTCAAGGCAGTACCTCCACAACAGTGCACCACCCATCACAAGAACAGTCCACATCGACTGAGCGGTCTCCAAACTGCATGGTGGGAAGCTGCCCACTGCAAGGGCAAAAGCTCAGCCTTTGGCAGGCAAGCCATGCAGGATGACATAGCACTCCACTCTATATACAAGGCTAGTATGTCTTATACAAGCTCTCCCTGCAGTGCTGAAGGGAGCAATGTCAGGAGGACCAACAGGGCAGAGTATGGTGTCTCAGGGCTGCCATTGTGGCTACCGTCACACAGATATGTGTTTAGCATAGGGTTAATACATACTTCGTATACAACTGCTCAGCGGCAGGCTCCACAAAGCCAGAGCTTCTGTTCAGATGTGATGATGGCATGAGTGGATGTGGACCTCCAAAAGATGCCTGCTGGGCAGGTCCTGTGCCAATGCCTGTCCCTAAAGAGGCTGCAGATACCTGGCCCCACAGACCTTCCCACTGTGTTCTAAAACTGTGTGCCCAGCTTCTCCAGCAGCTCTGAAGGGTGAAAACTTGATGTGAGACCCATGTCAGAGCACTGCTTACCTTTGTGGAAAGCCTTCAGACAGCAGCACAGTGCTCTGCCTCTCAGATATGTGAAGAAGCCATGTCCAAACGTATCCAAATGGCAAATCACAGACCTGGTCTATTAGCTTTGTCTGGTACAAAGGGTGACAGCACAACAAAGAGGAAGGAGATTGTGCCGCAGTTGACAGGGAGGGTCAAAGTGAGATGCTGACAAAGAAAAAGCATCTCACTGCATATGAGAAGTGTAGAGGAGAGCAAGGTTTCCATAAGGCCAGCAGCCATCATTATAGGAGACCACATCTTGGAAGTGACCAGTAAGTGCTACCTCAGTACTCTACTGTCAGAAATCATCAGAAATCAAAGACATTTCACACTTTTTTCTCCATTGAGAACTTCACCTGAGTAGGCTGTGTCTAGAGCTCATTTCTCTTTCTAGTACCTGTAACAATGTGCCAGTAAGACCATTAAGAGTTGCTTTTAAATCAGATCTACAGTGGCCATCCAAAGGTCCTTTGAATTACTTCCTTCTGTAGTGGGGACAGCTTTCTCTTTGTTCTGGTGGCTTTCTATGCTGAAAGCTTTGAGAGCTTCTTCAGAAACTCATAGTCAGTTAACAATATCATAGCAGTAAGACCTATCACCCATTAAGAATTTGACAGATCACTTCTGAATTGCTGTTATAAAGCTATTCTTGGGTATTTGGCAGGTGGAGAAGTTAAAGTAACAGAAAACTGAAGTTGATATGGTTAAGACTGCTGGTCCAACTCACTTGATCCCATAGCGCAATTTGCCTGTTATTCCACCGAGATGTTCCAGTAGAGAAGAGCTTTTTCATGTTTCCAAGGAACAGGACTTTATTGACTCTGTGAGACTTGTAGCTGGCTTCCTATAGGAAGAGAAAAGACACTGCATGAGTAAGAGACAGCACCCACTGCACAGCTACATTCATGTTACATGAGACCTCTGAGTCAGCCCCACCTGAAAGACCTGTTCAGCCCGGCTGAACTACAGTGAGCAGGATTTCATGGGAGTTTGAGAAAGGGGTCTAAACTCTTCAGGATCATTCCCAAAAGCCCAGTGAATCTCTCTAAAAATTGATTCACATGTCTGCAAGAGGGCAGTCCCTATTAGTTGTAGGCAGGACTTTCTGTGTACACGAATCTGTGCAAATACCTATGAAATGCATTCAGTTTCACCTTACCAACAGAGACAAAGTACAGGCAACAACCTCGGCAGTGGGACAAATGTACACTTACATCCACCTGATCTCTACAAGCCCTCCCAAGACGTCCCACAGAGGACTGCAGAAGGAAGCTGTGAGAACAGTGCACTTCAGGAAAGGTTTCAGGGAGCAAGGTGCATGGTAGCAAGGTGCAGAAACCCTGTTTTCAACAATGACAGCAAGTAGAAAGTAGGAAAGTAGAAGGCATTAGCACCATCTGGTACCTTGGGCAACACGGGGCACAGGCACATCTTCCATAATGGCACTCAATCTACCCAGAACAGGAAACACTTCAAGGGGTGATATCAGCTGGACTGCAAAACTCTGAACCCAACCTACCTGTAGGACTGTTCCTGCACGAGGGTCTATCAGACGTATCTTTCTATCCCTGCAGGCTGTGGCAAGGAGACTGCCATCCGTGTTGAAGGACATGGAGAGCACCACATCTTTGTGAGCATCGAGGATCTTCACGGGATTTGAGATGATGGGCTCCTTGGTGTCAAGGTTCCAGATCATTATCTGAGGAAAAAGAAAATAAAATCAGCCCTTTTCTGCTTGGCCAGTTGGGGATTTTGTGTCCCCTATTCACTTCTTCCTCTCTTCTCTGCATGTATAGGTCTTACCATCATAAACAGTTGTTTTCCAGCATTTGAAATAATTTGGGTACTTGCAGCAATTTATCAGGGACACAGTGTCTACTCAGAATGGCCAATATCCTAATTTCCTTTGCTACCACATTTTATACATAAAAAATGAACAGCATCAGTGCAGGCATTTGCACCAGCACAAGAATGAAGCCAAACAAAAGTGCATGGCATAGCATATGGTAACCAATCCAGTAAAGGAGAAGGGCAGAGTAGACTGAAATTCACCAGAAGACTGGAAAATCAGCAAATCCTTTTGAAACTTGTAGCAATGTCTTTTTGGCTTCAGGGTCACCAAGGAATTTCCCCCAGAAGGTTTCTGAACTCTTTAGTATTATCTTACAGCTTGAAATTAAAACAAATCTCAAACCACCCTGCCAGAGTGTCCCAGAAGTAGAGATCCACAGAGAACACACCCACCTTGTAGTCATAGCCAGAGCTGAAGAGGATGTTATTAGCAGTGGGATGCCATTCAATGAGACCCACTCTTCGAACATGCCCAAGAAGTTCCTTATTTGGACTGGTAATGTTTCTTGTTAGCAAGTGCTTGGGAATGTCCCAGATTTTAACCTGAATGACACAGGATAGGTCTTTGTAAGATTCCTGAGTAAAAAGCTAATTTGGAACTTACCAGTAACTATTACTCCCTTGGTATTATGATTTTGTTGGTAGTGAATAGGAATGCTCCTAGCTTTATTGAATGACAGTCCTTTAAAGTAGTATCTTTAATTTTCTGTGGGCCTGAAGACTCCTCTTTACCCTCTGTCTTAAGCCAGCAGTTCTACCAGTTTGTTTTAACTTGGCAATCCAACCTTTGCACCTGTCAAGCTGTCAGCACCATTGCAAAAAGTTATTCCCAAGGGAAAGTAAACCACAGATCTTGCAGACCTTGCCTCCTAACAACTTCCAAGTAGGAACAAGCAAATCTGAAATAAAGTTCAGCAAAGAGTCCCAGAAGATGTTATAGCAGTGACTGATCCAAGCAGTCATCCACTCAACGCTACCTGGTAAAAGAACCGAGAACTCCTGGTCCAATGGCAGCTGTAGTACAGTTTGTCCCATAGGGAACTGCACCAGTGCTGCATGCTTTGCAAATGACACAGCCATCTGTCAAAGCACACAGAAGCCCACTCAGGTGGCCAGGCAGCAGATGCCCTGTGCAGAGAGACTGGGCTGTGCTGCACTGAAGTCAGTCAACATGGGGAGTGTCCTGTCTCTTAACAAGTCTACCTGCAGTCCTGAGATCTTCTAGAAGAATACTGCACAAAGACAAAAATCCTCTGTCCTCCTGGGATGGAATAAGACAACAGAGAAGACCTGCAAAAGGAGCTGAGCCTACACAGGTAAAATGAAAGAATCTTTCTCAGACTAACCCTAGAAGCACAAGTATTTAGGATGCTAACAGATGATTAACTCTTTGTCTCAATGAAAATTACTATGCTTGTCATAATTCTTCTAGTACTTAGCCTGAAGCAAAAGGGAAATGCTCTTTGAAGCAGATAGTTCATGGAAATTAGCCACACCTGTCCAAGTCTCCCACTGTTTGGCTGGTGAGGATCACATCTTTCTAAGCCAAAAAAGGAGAGGCACAAATTCTGCGACCTGCTAGGAAAGATCATGAGCACCCTTCTCAAAGGTGTTTATCCTAATGAGGAATCAAGTTCATCAGAAACCTAAGGGCTGTGGGGTCTAGTACCCTCCAGATGAACTTCTGCAGTGGTAAGAAAGAGCATCACAAGCTACATCTTCAACAGAGATCACTAAAGGAATGGGGCTGAGAGAGTAGGAAAGCGGAAAATGGGTTGTGTCCATGCTGAGAACGGCCTAGAATAAACCATTCACTCCCCATGGTACAACATGGTTGGTGGTAAAAGCAGAGAAAAGCCCCTGGCTGGAATCCCAGTATGCATTAAAGGGCAGAAATTGCCAGAGCTTAGTGTGCAGAAGCAGGAGCCAGACCTGCAGGCCAAGCAGGGACAATCCATGAGCTGTCTACCCTGCTGCATCCTGAAGAATCACAGAATCACAGAATCTCAGGAGTTGGAAGGGACCTCGAAAGATCATCTAGTCCAATCCCCCTGCCAGAGCAGGATCACCTAAACTAGGTCACACAGGAACACAAAGCAAAATAAAACGCACAGAGGTGCCCCTCTAACCACAGGAGAGATCTTCAGCAAGCTGAATTCATGCGTGTGTCATGATTTGCCAAAAGGAACAAAAGGGGTAACAGAATAAGCCCTCTCCCCATACTGTTCAAACTCTCAGTTCCTGGCCACTTGCATTGGCCTCAATACTAAGCCTGCCTGAAGCAGCAGTGGGAACTGGAAAGGGCACTGCGTGTTCACAGGTACTGCTTGACTAATCTGATCTCCTTTTATGAC